TTACATTTGGTTACATTTGAAAAACCAAAATGGAGCGCGAGCCACTCTTTCTTTTTTGGTGAATAAGGAAGAGGAAGTTTATTCCATGCTGCATCACCACTGCCATCCAACTCTTTCATGATTATTTCAAGACTTTTGTTTCTGTCCGCTTCTACTTGTCCTGACTGTAATGTTCAGTTGGAAGTTTTACTGGGAAATTGTGTCCAATTGCGTTTAAATTGAATTTAGAGAGCCAAATGTTTCCAAAGCTCTTCTGCATATTTCACACTTACATTTTTCTCATTTGAGTCACTGCAGGAATTCTCCTTTAAAGTCTGCACAGTATTCACATTCAACAGATAACAGTTACGCAAAGTGCTGCTCTTAACATTAGTCATAATCTTTCAACCCATATCCTTTCCGTAAATTTTCTGAATACTGTGCCATAAATGAGTGAGAACAAGCTTTCCAGTCACTGTCAAGAGCATTGCATTGAATGTTCATTTATCAATCTAAGCTCGACCGACAAGTATTTCTAAACTCCTGGGCAGTGCTCCCTAACTAACTAACTTTGGAATGCAGCTACCCCATGAAGGCTACATGTTGTCTCCTCTCAGGCAGTGAAAACAACCTCTCCCCTGCTGCCCTTTATAACTCGTGTAATGATGAACTTCACGCCCTGCCGCCCAAGCATTAGCTCCAGGCTGCACTCAAACGCCCCACTGATGCATCCTATCTTCCTTAGGTTCTCTTGTCCTTGAGACAGGCAGTGACCTAGAAAGGGCTTCTTTTTTTTTTTTTTTTTTTTTTTTTTATTACAGTCAAGGCTAGACGTTGTTTTAACAGTTTTAAACCAACAGGCTGCTGCTTGTCAGAGAGACTGAAAAACTTCTCGCGATCACAAGGGGGGGTTGGGTGGTGTGACTGGTCAGACCCCAGACCCCTTAACTTATCCAGCCCACACCACACCCTGCCCGGCGTCCCTGGTGGAATTCCAGTGTGCAGCTCGCATGACCCAGGCCACTGACCTCCATCTCCTTTTTCAGCGTCCATTCTTTTCTTCACCCCCTTCCCCCGTCCAGTTTTTGTGCTTTCCTTCCACTTCTTCCTGCACCGTTGCTCGTCTTGCGGTCCTTTTTAGTGCTTACCGTCATTTTTGTTGGGTCGGATGCAGATGAAAGTCAGAATCTAGCTCTGCTACAGCACTAGGCACCCCAGAGCCTCCAGACACCGTTATGTGGCTGCACATGCGCACCAGCCTCCAGGCCTCAGGGTGAACTGGGAGACTTGCTGGTCTGACTACTCTGCGCAGCACTAGTGTACTGAGACAAGCTTAGTGCAGACCCCGTTAAGAGAGAGAACTATTCCCAGATTGATTACATCTGTTGTGTAGGAAATGTTTCACTTGGACTTCAAATGACCAAGCTATTACAAAGAATTGTGCTTATATGGTGTCACATTGAATATACTGTATATGACAGTGTGTGTATGTGTGTGAATATATATATATGTTCTTTCCTGTAGTTCGTTTGGCTGGAGTTCTGTAGTCAATGAGGCATTTTATTTCCCTTTATGTGATGCTGTGGGTTTCTAAACCATTAACTCCTCACATTCCTTATGATTGAATTCTGTCCTGAGAGCTGCCTGTTTTGGTGATAGGTTGACTTGCCTCTCCGACAGACCAGAGGGAAAAGGAAAACATCTGTCTTAAGTTGTGTGTTTCTTTTTTGTTCAGAGGTTGAATTTGACCTGTCCAGTGAGCGTTTTGGCAGAATGCCACAAAATGTATATCCGCTAGGGGGTTCACTGACACATGCACACAGAACAGGCAAACATTGATGAGGTCAAAAAGCAAATGCTCTGCATCTGTCAGGAAAAGATTTTGGATTTAATCACTGTTTCCTCATATGATCCGATGTACACATAATGATTAGTACGCAGTACTATATACTATACCAGGGGTCACCAACCTTTTTTAAACGGAGGGCTACTTCATGGGTACTGAGTCACACGAAGGGCTACCAGTTTGATACACTCTTCTGAAATGATACATTTGCTCAATATGCTTATAACTATACTTTATTAATAATCATTTATGATACTCATCTGTGACAACAGTGACAACAAAATGGGAAACATATCAATATCCCCCACTTTATGTCTATTTATCTCAGCAACTGTTAAATTTTCAGATGATCACTTACTCTACATCACTAAGTTTACATAGGAGTTTTCAATTTCACTCATTTTCACCAGCCACTGACAAAACCTTTTAACAAATCATGAACTATGTTGCACCATTTCTCAAAAAGTTATCAATTATCTAATGTTAAAGAAAAATCAACTCACATATTAAAAAGAAATCTGAAATCTCATGACCAAATCTTTAACAGATTGGCATTGCATGCTGTTCACCAGTGCAATTTAATCGGTGTGTAACTTGACACTGCAACTGTGAGTGCATATTTCAGATGTGCTTTTTCAGCCCGTAGTGCGCTTCCCGGTGGCTAGTTAGCATGCTAGCTTTTCTGGCACAAAGTGAAGTGTTTTTCCACATTGTGCCGCTTTGCCGTCGCCACAGTTTCCCCGCAAATCAGACACACGCAGGTTTCTTTTACAGTCGTAAAAAAGAACTCCTCCTCCCATTCGTTGTGAGAGTGATACGTTTTCTTTCGTTTTTCTCCCATGTTTTTGGGGTAAGAAACTGCACCCATCTCCGCGGCGCCCGCTAGCTTACTCTCCACTGACACTAGTTTTATTTTGTCACGTGCACAATACTGACCTTTGAACTAGAGAAAACTTAAACTTAATATATAATTAACATATATTAAAGATATTGTCATTTTAGATTAAATCTAAATGAATGCAAGTGTGATTAAAATAGAATAGCAACGGAACAAAATTACATTTTAGACGCTTTTCACTATTGAGTTGTGCTATTTTTAGAACAGGCCCGCGGGCGACTCATTTGGTCCGTGCGGGCGACCCGGTGCCCGCGGGCACTGTGTTGGTGACCCCTGTACTATACTATGTTCAAATTCTTATGGGACATTTTTAGTGTTGCAGTCTAAAAAGAAAGCCCTAAACTACTTTTTAGCTGATGTGAAAACAGCAATGTGTTTCATTTAAGAACAGAGCAGATGACAGGCGCCCCCAGCATAACTGTAATATCACCAGATTCACAGGATGTTTTAGAAAACCTTTTCCTGTTTCCAATTATGTCGGCGGGTAGCACACGAAAGGATGACTTAGACACACCATGCTAGTATACAAAAAATTCCTAGTTTCAGGCTGGACACACGTTCTGTTTAAACTATGAACACGATTAGACCAGGATAGTTCATTTAAAACCACTGCTGACCATTCTGTAAATCTCACTCACTCCAGGCTTTATGTCAAACTGGATATGTTGATCACAGACTTAACACATGAGTGGAAGTACACAGTAAAATCTGTAAAAAGTGCATGTTGCACCCTCAAGCAGAGAAACAAATACAGCCATGTATGCACCAATAATGAAAGAGAGGTTCATAAAGTTCTAATCATTCCCATCCCAAATACATGAATTTATCTGCCGCTCACTCTTGTTGTGCATCTCTGGAAGCAGTGATGTATTTTTCATGCACGTTTCGCCTAGAAATAAAAAAACACAAGATATTCTTTTTGATATAGATTCTTTTTCCTGTCTGTACTTGTTTTTATACCTGCTGTAGAACAGAAAAAAAAGTCTGGCTTCTGTAATGGTAATTCAGTCTGATTGGAAACTGTACTGTTGAAATGCAGGATTACAATAGTTCTGCCAGAACTGCTTGCTTTCTGCTTTGATTTGCATCGTTTAATCTCCGAAACAAACTGTGCAAAATGTGAAGTAGTCAATGCATAGCAGGTGGGACTTTTTCATCTCCAGCAAGTTCTGTTGTGAGCTTCTTTCTTTTGACTTTCCTCTGATGTTGCTGCATTGGTCTTTGAAGTTCATCCTTGGAAACCCACAGTTCTCAGGTGTTTTCAAATTAAGCTCCACAGGAATGACCATTTTGTCTGCTTTTGTGAATTCAGTCAATAAGTAAAAATGATTAGTGATTAATGCTTTTAATGTCTTTTTTAAACCATATTGTGATGTGAATGGTAGCACCCATGTCTTCTTGTCCAGCCTGTCCTACATCTTGGAAAGATTTTTTTCTTCCAGATTTTGTACATTATGTTCAATCAGCCTCTGAACTAAGCCCCATGCACATATGCTTATAGGTGATTAAACCATCCTTTTGCTTAGACTGCACCAATTTATTTTGTCAAGTTAAATATATTATGATGCCAGTGATGTTACATTAGTCAACTCTGATCTGTTGGGAAAGACACAAAAGGAAAACATGTTTTTGATGAAGACAAGTCAGCCAACAGGCAATACAGCCTTTTAAAATGCAGATGGCTTTCCCCTAGTTGGCCAATTAGTAACTTTAGCTCTGGAACACTTATGTGCTTTCATCTTCTTGTGTGTGTCTTTCATTCGGGTTGCAGGGAACTTAGCATGGGTGTTTCCACAAGTGTGTGGTGGATTCTTTGTGCACTTTCATATATGTTTGCTGCAGTAAGAAAAAAAGCATACTTAACTATATTCTAATTTTGCTGGCAGCATGAAAACCAACATATTGTTAGATGTCAGATATTAAGCCAAAACACACAGTGAGATTCAATGAACATGAGATTGAAATATGGAAAGCAGCGCTGTAAACACTGCAGTCCTGGCAGAATTACAGTGAAATTAGTTAATCTGGGGGAAAAAACAGCCTGGTTAAGTAATGTGCAACATTCCAGCAGCTTTGCCCGTGACCTCAATCTTTTCAGGAAACATTTAGCCGAGAAACTGGATCACAGATTAAACATTATTAACAGAATATAAGGGGGTGTGTAGGAATTTAGTTGCGGTATGCAACCCCTCTCACATAATGAAGTCTACCCTTTAAATATGTTTCTCTTCTGACGACTAATTCTGTCCACTCTCCCTCTTTTCTCTCTATCATGCAGGGCCAGACCCCAGCCGAGTGAGCTTCTCTTGCATGGAAACCCTGCTTCCTTGGCAGCTTTCGCTTCTCCCCAGAGCTAGCAGCCAGCATGGCAGGATGAGCGTCTGCCAGCGATGATGATGGCCAAAAAACAAGATCCCCGGGCACCCACCTACAACCTGATTGTGGTTGGGCTGTCTGGTACGGAGAAGGATAAAGGCCAGTGTGGTGTTGGCAAGTCCTGCCTCTGCAACCGCTTTGTACGGCCAAGTGCAGATGACTTCTACCTGGACCACACCTCTGTTCTCAGCACCAGTGACTTTGGAGGCCGCGTTGTGAACAATGATCACTTCCTGTTCTGGGGAGAGTCTGGGAGGACTATGGAAGAGGGGCCAGAATGCCGCGTCAATGTGGTGGAGCAGACTGAATTCATTGATGATCAGACGTTCCAGCCACACCGTAGCACGGCACTCCAGCCTTACATCAAGAGGGCAGCTTCCACCAAGCTTGCATCAGCTGAGAAGTTGATGTATTTCTGCACAGACCAGCTTGGGCTGGAGCAGGACTTTGAGCAAAAGCAGATGCCCGAAGGCAAGCTTATGGTGGATGGCTTCTTACTCTGTGTGGATGTTAGCAGAGGTATGAATCGTAGTTTTGAGGATCAGATGAAGTTTGTCAGCAATCTTTATAACCAGCTAGCCAAAACAAAGAAGCCTGTGGTAATGATTCTCACAAAATGTGATGAAGGAGTTGAGCGCTATATTAAAGACTGTCACACTTTTGCCCTGGCTAAGAAGAACCTACAGGTTGTAGAAACATCAGCACGCTCCAATGTTAATGTTGATCTAGCCTTTCTAACACTTGTCCAGCTGATAGACAAGAGCAGGGGCAAGCCCAAGATTATACCTTACTTTGAGGCACTGAAACAGCAGAGTCAACAGATTGCCTCAGCCAAAGACCACTACGAGTGGCTGGTCACCCGAATTGTTAGGAACCACAATGAGACTTGGCCAACTGTCACCCGTCGCATGCAAACAGCCAATGAGTACAAGGACTATGTTTTTCTTGAGGGGACGGCTAAAGCTAAGAAGCTCTTTCAGCAGCATGTGCATAGACTTAAACAGGAACACATAGAGAAACGCCGGAAGAGTTACTTGAGCGCTCTCCCACAGGCTCTGAGCATCCTCTTACCAGAGTTAAACGAGATAGACCACTTGAGCTGGTCTGGAGTTCAAAAAGTCCTGGAAACAAAGAGAGATTTCTCTGTGTGGTTTGTTGTACTAGATGATACCCCTTGGGAGACCACACCACACATTGATAACATTGAAGATGACCGAATCCCCCAGGACCTCCTCGAGACACCAGCAGCAGAAATAATCTATGATGCCCACCTGGAACTTCTTAGGAATGAGCGCAAACGAGCTGAGATGAGATGGGAGTTCAAGGAGAAGCTAAGTGTTTCTCCTTTTATCACGCCAGGAAAACCTTGGGAGGAAGCCCGCAGTTTCATCATGAATGAAGATTTCTACCAGTGGCTGGATGAAGCTGAATATTTAGATATCTACAACAAACACCAGAAGGAAATCATTGACCGGGCCAAAGAAGACTTTCAAGAACTACTCCTCGAGTACTCTGAGCTCTTTTATGAGTTAGAAGTGGATGCTAAACCAAGTAAAGAGAAAATGGGAGCCATTCAGGAGGTGTTGGGTGAGGAGCAAAGATTTAAAGCCTTGCAAAAGCTGCAAGCAGAAAGGGATGCACTTGTTTTGAAACATATCCACTTTGTCTACCATCCAACAAAGGACACTTGCCCCAACAGTCCACACTGTGTGGACAGTAAAATAGAGCAAATATTGGCCTCCAGGTTCCCTACTCGCTATCCCTCATCAGACACTGCAAGACTGGATGGAGGGAGGGCTGAACGGATAAATTTGGTCATCTTAGGAAAAGATGGGCTGGCCAGAGAGATGGCAAACGAAATAAGGGCTTTGTGCAGCAGTGATGATCGGTACGTGTTAGATGGCAAGATATATGAGTTAACCCTTCGCCCCATAGAAGGCAATGTACGTCTCCCAGTCAACTCCTTCCACACACCAACATTTACACCCCATGGCTGTCTATGTTTGTACAATTCAAAGGAATCTCTATCCTATGTCGTTGAGAGTTTAGAGAGACTTAGAGAGTCAACTATAAGCAGACGAGAAAGGGAAAACAGCTTAGCTCAACTCCCACTGTCCCTTCTTCTCGTCACTAAGCGAGGGGTGGGGTCCATAGGGGATATTGGAGGGGAGACGGCTCAAACTCTTATTCATCAAGGGCAGGTGGAGGCCATAAAGTTGCAGTGTGCCTACCTGGAGCCTGCCTCTCCAGGCATGGGATATGGCCGCAATGTCAGCGACAAGCAGATTGGCCAGTTGCTGAGGAGCGTCTTAGAAACGAGGAGAAATGTAGGGAGCAGCTCCCCTCCATTGCTTCACCCGTCTTCTGCCTTCAGAGACTCTCAGTCCCAGCAAACGGTCGAGGCAGACATAAGGATAGTCATGTGCCTAATGTGTGGAGACACGTATGATCTAGACCAGCTCCTTGCTCCTTTTCTTTTGCCTCAACATTGCCGTCCTGCCTCCAGCCTAAGCAGTGGCACATCAGTTTTTCTGGACCTCAATATTGGAGGACAGAGGCAGAACATGGAGCTGTCACTGCTCTCCTTCCATTCCTCATTCTCTCTCCGCAAAACTGGGCTGGTCCATGGCTTCATTGCAGTTTATTCGGCTCGTCGCAAGGCTTCAATGGAGACACTGTGTGCTTTCCTCTGTGAGGTCCAGGACATCATTCCAGTTCAGTTGTTAGCCGTGGGGGAGAGTCAGATGGAGCTGTCAAACTCAGAATCCGCTAAGGAGCAAGTCAATCAAGGAGAGGAACTGGCCCATGAAATAGATGCCAGGTTTAACACGATAATATGCGGACATGGTGGGGTCGTGGGGGGACTTCATAAGATAGACCTTTTCCAACCCTTTCTCAAAGAGGTTATGGAAAAGCGCACTATTGTTGAGGCTACACACATGTATGACAATGTTGCCGAGGCATGCACCAGTGAGAGCGTTAGCCCTCGTCGTGGCTCTCCCAGTCCAGTCAACATTCAAATCGACTCTGAGGACGATCTTGATCCGTCACCACCTTACCCTACTCTTAGGGAGGATGGCAGTCTCAGCTCGCACTTGGGAAGCTTCAAAATGCCTGATTTGGATTCAAGTGATCCATTTTCGGTCATTTCTGAACTTACGACTTTTGAGAGCAAGCTGAACAACAAAATTCCCCCACAAGTGAAGCCCAAACCTGTCCGTAAGGTTAACCTCAGCCCCTTTGTGGAACAGCAAGGTGGAACCAACCGACGATCCCTGCCCCAAACTGTGACCTGGGCTCCAGGTAGCGATGGTGGCTATGACCCTTCAGACTACGCAGAGCCTATGGATGCTGTGAGCAAACCTCGGTCCACAGAGGAGGAGAATATATACTCTGTCCCCCATGACAGCACACAGGGCAAGATTATCACCATCCGTAATGCTAACAAAGGTCATGCTAATGGAAGTGCAGGGGGAAATGGTTCAGACAGTGAGGCTGATAGCAGTTCATTGGAGCGCAGAAGGAAGTTGTCTGCCATCAGGGCGAAGCCAAAACTTTACAGAGACAGATCCAAAAGGCTTGGGAAATTCAGCAGCTTTAGGACAAGCTTCTCTATTGGCAGTGATGATGAGATGGGAGGCCCACCAAAAACTAGCCATGATGAGGGGTCCCAAAAGGACCACTTGATTGAGGAGAGTGAGGATCCTAAAAGAAGAAATATCCTCAAGAGCCTGCGCCGAAATACGAAGGTAAGTGTCTCTGTAAATGACTCTTTTCTAATACAATCCAGCCGTTTTGATAAGCTAAAGAAAATGGAATTGTATTTAAATTCTTACAATTAAATATATGTGTGGACGAATATAGTTTAGCAATGAAGCGGATGCATTGCTCTAGTAGTTTTTAAAAACATTTGTATTCTAAGTGTCCTCTGAGGTATAGTTATACGATTTTTGCATGTTAGCCTCTAAGTAAAAGAAACTAATTTCAAGCAAAACACTCACTGCACAATTATCCAATGGGTAACTAAGCAGAACAAGATTTGGTGCTCCTACATCTCCTGGTCTGCGTGAATACTCGTGTACAGAGAGAATGCCATGAACATAATTAGTTTTGGCTAAGGTTCAGCTTCTCTTTGCTTTGGTGGACAGCAGTGTTTATTACTAAAGAAGAGGAAAGCAGAGCTCAGCATCATCTCAACTCTCTGAGGCAGTGCCCACTGAAAACATGTCATTCTGTAAGGGTTCCTCTGAAAGAAAGCCTGCCATATTTTTCCCTGACCGCTCAGTATGAGCCCTCGAAACAAGGCAGATCATCAGAGGAAAAAGAGTCTGTCAGAATACTTCTGTACAAGAAAGCAGCAACTCTTAATGAATAGGAACAGAACAGCAGTAGGCTCTGCTGTTTTATCTGTTTGTGCACAAGAGCCCGTGGTTGCATCTGGTTTCCTTTGATAACATAGCTGGCATAACAATTCAGGACATTTATTTTCTCTTAAGATTCAGAAAATGTCAACATTTATCTGGCCAATCTTTATACCGGAAGAAATTTAAATGCTTTATCACGGCAGATTAGCTGTTGAACACCCCTCCATTAAGGAATGGCTAGTACCAGCAAACAAAAGAGTACAATTCTGAGCTTTTTGAAAATCTTCATTATTGTCTCATTGTGAAATCCCCTTTTTCAGAGGATCATATTTAGTAATTTATCCTTTTGTTTGCCATATAATTGCCCAAAACAAAATTTGACTCGCACACATTTCTCACGGCATATTTCAGTTAATGCAGCAGTTTTTACTCGTTACTTTCTCTTGCACTGCAGTAAAAGATGTGCCAAACTTTGTCAACTTGTACCAGAGACTCCCAATTCATCCTTGTCAGTTTGGCTTTCCTTTCTTCCTTCCTTTCATTCTCCCCTGCTCTTTGTGTTTGTCCTCACATCTTGCTGATTCATACATTTTGTCTCTCGCATTCCTGTCACATTCTTTTTATGTTCTCCTCATGCCTCTCTCTTTACTTTTGCCAGTCTTTCCTGAAGTCTTTCTCCATTTCTTTTTTAGCCACTGGTATCTTCCCCTCTTAACTTTTTTCCCTCCCTCTCTGTCTCCTCTTCCTTTGAGTGCTTGTTTCTCACCAATGATCCGGTAATACTTTTGACCTTACATTGTTGACTTATCAGCCTGCTATGCAGCTCACACACAAACACACACACACACACACACACAGTATGGTACAGAAGTGCCAGCTGAACAGGAGTTACAGCTGTGTATGTTCTTGTGTGTCAGTGATTCTGACCATGACTGTCAGAGGGTGGAACAGGAGGTGGGGGATAAATGTTTTCACACTCTCAGCTGTGATGTCCAAGTACCTGCATGGTTCAACCGCCTTGACTACATTCTCTTCTACTTAACGTCACTTGTTTTCTCTGACAACTCGATCACAAGGCATCACAGTTCAGTTTGTGAGATTGGCATACGAGTGCAGTGTAAAACCCACCTCAATCCTTACCTTAACATGCACAACAATCCCAGTGACCTTATGTATTTTCTAAACCTAGCTAACAGACCTTGGGTAATTTGAAATATTTCAAAATAAATCCAAAGATAAATGGAAGCTGTGTAGAATGGGCAGTTCATGTCAGTTGTCTGGGTTGAAGCAGTTAGATTAGAATAAAATGTTTAGCTGTCAAAGAAGACAGTTTGAGTTGGTGCAGTGTAAATATTTCCTTCAGTGAAGCCTAAGGTTACTCTTTTCGAGTAAGAGTCTCAGTGAGTTGGAACAAATATTCGAAAGTAGACTCCAGGGTCATTTTAATCGCCCCCTTTACCTCAGGCATGTACCAACTGTGTCTGTCCTGATCGCCGTGTCTCAGCGAGACGCCAGAAACATTTTTTTTCTCTGTCTCCTCTGGAATGAAAAGGAGTGTTTCTAATTCCTCAGTCACCTAGCTCATCCTGTGTCCTTGTTGAAGTTATAACAGGAAGGGAGATGGTGAAATGAAAGACCAAGCACGGGATTGGAAATAAAATAAAACTGAAACTAGAATAAGGCTCGTGATGGAACTCTAGAGGGGGCTTGTCCTACAGCGTGCAGTGTTTTTTTTGTTTTTCTTTTTCATGAAAGACGTCTGTTTTGTCTTCATAATGCTGGCAACACATCCTGTCTGTCAGAAACTGAAAGGAGTGTCCAGAAGGCAAAGCTGCAGGGGGGAAATATAAAGCAAGAGAAGTGTGCTGGTGCAGAGGGAGTCTGCCTAAATGAGATAGGGCACAGAGTCCCTCAGATAGGACTCCGTTGAATTATGAGTTGTGCTCTTTTAACCGAGTGTTAAAGCCATTCAGATCCAAATGAAGCTTCATAGGCAAGGTGTTTACTTGTGTCTGCGTCCATGTAGAGAACAGGAGTGTCCAGTGGACATTTGGCTTGGTAGAGGAGGAGGCATGCTTTTAATAAATGCTTAGAATGTATTCTTTAGGGGTCCTTCAAGTTTAAGCTAGTTAAATACAACGTGCAGTAAAAACTGTTTCTTTGCTTTGTGACAGACCTTCTGTAGATCCTGGCCTCAGGGGCCTTCAAAAGGTTGACCACTGAGCCCCATAAAGTGGAGCACAATTACTGCTGATGCCTCAGCTGTACAGCGGGACAGGCAAATTGTGTTGCAGGGGTGTATAAGAGGTCTCTTAACGGGAAAATAAAAGGACTTGGAAAGTAATTAAACAGTGAATAAGAGGGTTTGATGATGTGAGAGCTATTGGGCAATCTAGAGTGAAAGAAAGGTAGAACGCGAAAGGAAGGGCGGGTGCGAATAAACAGATGAGAGCGAGGTGGGAGCTGATGTACATCTTTCTGGTGCTCTGGGCAGGGTTGAAGGATGGAATGTCCGATAAGTTATCTGTTCAACATTTAAAAGAATGTGTGGGATGGGTGTGCTCATGCACGTTTGTCGTTTTGCTCAAGAAACATGAAACATAGTAACTCCTAAATTAATTCATTCCAAATTAGACTTTTTTCAGAATCAAACAGAATCAAAGACTGTGTCACTTGGGAAACGTGTGTCAATGCACACCAGAGTTAAATAATGTTGTTGTTTTTTTCTTTGTGATTGCCCTCACCAAGCTTTTTTTTTTTTCTTTCTTCCTCCATCATTTACCAGAAACAACCACGACCCAAACCCAGGAATTCCATCTCGAAACCTATTGAAAGCAACTACTTTGGCATGCCCCTAGCCACTGTGGTCACACCAGAGAGGCCGATCCCAATCTTCATCGAGAGGTGCATCCGTTTCATTGAGACAACAGGTAAGAGTGTGTTTTGATGATCTCCTAGCACAGATATTTCAAATTCTTTGCGTATGTTGCACGGCATGTTGCTGTTTATGTCTGTTATGTGTTCAATTTGAAATCGTTTCTAAAGAACTTTTCTGCCTCTGCGTGTGCGTGCTACACACACGCTTCAGTTATTTGACACCGTCAAGCTACTTTTTTTGTTCCCTTATCTTAATCCCCCTCTCTGAGATTGTTGCCTACCGTGATCCGGCCTAAATCACACGCAGCCTTATGTGCGCTCACTTTTTTCTATGTCTCTGTCCAGGTTTGATAAATGGTTGTGCCTGAGCTGCAGGTTTTTACAAGTGGACAGCTACAGGGAGAGGAACCAAAGATGATAGCTGACATTCGGCCAATTTAAAAAACGACAAATATCAAATAAAAAAACATCATTAGAAAAACTGAAAACAGGGTTCTAATGTGCATTCATGTAGTGTGTATACGGTTTCAAAAGTTGGTGGGTTTGTTGTTGATTTAACTGCAAATCTCGATGCCAGTTTGATGTTGTGTGTCAGAGTCTGTGCAGACACTGTTTTTTAGATAACAGGTCATTAGTCTGTTAAGAACAACCGGCCCTCTCCCTCTCTCTGGGAGCACAGATGTGCTCAGAAAACCCCGACTAACCTTTTTATCCTTTTACCAACATGCCATCTCCCCACGCCTGTCAGGCTGTTTTGGTGCCCCACTGCCCTGGGATTGTAGGGTTGCTTCTCATTCTTCCACCAGCTGTCACCCTAAACCGGAGGCAAACGTTGAGACGACATACTGCTCACACATCAGTCTATACTTAGCTGGGCTGGTATTTCAAAAACTGAACTATATAACCCCTTCATCTCACTTATGGCAGTTGCTCGCTGGACAATTGTGTCGTAAGAAGCTTTATTACACATGTATTGCACACACTAGTGGCAAAACATTGTCCTTTCATTTCCTTTCACAGCATGGGTTGCTTACTGACATGCCGGCGCATTCCGCTGTAATCTCTGTGCTGATTAAAGACTGCATTTGTGGATTACTGTGGCCTTAAAAACATTCACCTCCTTCCTCCATGTGGGAGCATAGAGGTAAAGCTCCTGATAACAAGGCATCACTTTGGATTTCTCCTCACCCCGCTCACATGTTAACTGGAGCAGTCACAGCAGTTACTGCCGTAAGAAGGAGAAAAACTGGTTGAATCTGCGTGTACATTCACTGCTGTGTGCCCACGAATGGGAGTTTGGCAGAGGTGTTTTTCCCCTTTCATCCTCACTCGCTTCTCTTAGTGTTTGTCCTAATCATCTGTTTCTTCTTCTCCTTTCTCCCCTTGCCTCTTTCCCCTCAATCCAGCCATCTTTCTCCCTTCAGCTCCGAGAACCAACACTTGTCACATTTGATTTCTTTCATTTCCTTCTTTCCACATTTTTATTATTCGTTTCCCTGTCCCATTGTCATCTCCCTTGGGCAACTGTATGTATTTTACTCCAGCTTTTCCTTCCATCTAACCACTTCCATTTCATTGCCTTTTTTTATTTATTTTTTTACCTTCCTCCCACCAGCGTGCTGAGTGTATATGTGTTAAAACGTGTTTCAGCCAGGGGACTGCCAGGTAACGTTTATCCCCACAGCTGCCTCTGTTCCGATCAAGGCAGAAAACTGGAGGGACGTTTGAGCTCAGCAGTTTTCTGTGTGTGTTTAGCTTGTGTCTGCGTAATTTAGAAGTTTCTTGGTGTGTGTGGAGGGTTTGGATACACTGACACTGACACATGTGCGACAGAACGCACAAAAATAATTTTCTTGGAATGGAAGGGGGAAACGAGACACAATGTGCTCTTTAGTTGTGATTGTCGTTGCTGTTTGTCCGACTTTACTTATCTCATATCTGTGTCTATAATCTCTGAGTATAATGGCACTTGCAGGAAATTACCATCCAGTGCTGACACCATGTTTGTCACTATAGTGTGAGCAGATAAGTGGCACTGCCAAGCTGACCTTGGCTCTGCTACTTTAACCCACTTCCTTCCCCCGTTAATTAATTAATTTATTTGAACCGTCGGCTACTTAAAACCCAAACCTGACGTTGCTTAAATCTGTGTAGATATCATATAACTCACATAGCAGATTTTTTTTGGGGTGGTTTTTCTCAGGACCCAAGAATTAGCTCGCTGAGTGATGCCCCTTTGTAGTTTTTGTTGTTCCTTTTTTAAAGTCTTCTCTCTGTGTTTTCCTCCCTTACTCGTGCTTCATAGTTGCTCTCTTTGTCCTTGAGAATAATAGGAGTGGATGTGGTATTTTGTGTTATTTTCATGCATTCTGAGCTCGTAGAAAAGCTACTGTATAAAATCAATCCGTAGTGACTGCTGTTATCTCCTCTCAGCTCGGGCTTTCTTTCAGCATGGTGTTCGCTGCTCTGCTCATGGGCACCGAGGTGATGAATGTGTGTTAGCGTGCACCGGCATATCTGCTGGCCGTAGGAGCCTCCATAGCGACGAAAAGGGCAGCACCCAGCGACTGCCTGTCTCTATGGTGAACTATGAAATCAGCCCTCTGGGCCGCTGAACCCGGGGAGAGGCGGGGGTCTGAGCTGATGTGGGATCAGCTGGTGTGGAGTCGGGCACTAACGCGCTGCAGAAATACAGCCGCTAACCGCGGGAGAATTTATCGCTTTTTCCTGAGTCTGCAGGTCTGCAGGCGTGTTTTTTGGCCACTCGAGAGCCGTTGGAAACTGTGAGGTCAACGCAGATGGGTGTATTTTCAGATTTTTATTGTATTTATGTCTGTGTGCAAGGCATAAAGATACATGGTTCTGAAGCTAGCAGGAGTAATGTTTCATTTTATCCGAGCGGGCTCCTGGAATGGAACGTTCTGAGACTTGTGAAGACTTACTTGGGGATGCAAATAAACCATTTGTTTGCCACAGGAAGTGTTTTTATTTCAGTTAACTACAGGAAGCTCTTTGTTTGACCATGAAGGAAGAGGATGCTGTTGCCAGTGTTTGAGGGCTCACTTTTCCAAGCTTTCGCAGTAAATTCTTATTAGCACTGAGAGTTAGGTCAGAGACCTTTGTCCCCCGACTCTTCTGCCTATCTCACTGCATTTTTTTCCGATCAGGTTCACTCCTTTCAATTCCGTCTTAAGTTTTGTTGTTTCCCATATCTCTGTATATCTCTGTATATCTCCCCCTATCTTAATCTCTTTATTATTTCTCGCGCTCTCTTTCATCAGTTGGTCGTCACGCTCCATCTCTATCTTTCTCATCTTTGGGTCCTATTTGGCCCCATCTCTCTCGCTCCCTCCTCCCCCCCCCACTGCAACACCACTCCCTCCTGCTATCTATCCTCACATCCCTGTTTTCCTGGTGTCTGGCTGGCAAAGCTTTTGTGGATAATTGATTGGTGGAAGGAGAAGATCAATGCTGTATGCCTTGACTGAGAGCTCTCTCATTTCCTCCCTGCCTCTCCCTTATCCTTGTCTACTCTCTTTCTGCATCTCCCCATCTCCCTCACTTCCTTTGGATTGCGCTTTGACTGAGTTGCCCCCAAAGTGTGAGCATTAAGACAGAAATGAGGATGTGAGCTGGAACATTAAATGTCTTTGAACCGGAAGAAACTATTGTTGGATGAAAATAAAGGGAAATAAATGGCTTTCCAGACAGTGTCAGTTTGATTTGGGTACTAGTGTTTGTTCTTCTTCAGGTTCACTAAACTAAATGCACATTAATATCAGTCTGTGATGTCTTTGAAAATCTTTGAGCTCTAAAATTACAGAGCTCAAATGCGAATAATGTGATTTAACTGGATAAGAAACAATGCTGGGTTGTTAGATTGATTTTTCCAATTAATTTCTGGTGACTGAACTTGAGGTACTTTAAGAGAAAAACTCTGAAAAAGTATTTGTTTCTTCTTTTTAAAACTCACTAAATGAAATGTAAAAACTTTTGGAATTACAAGGGGTTGTTTGTATCTTCCAAATCAACAAAAATATGAGTTATTGACTTATAAATGAAAAAAAAAGTCTATGTAGTTGTTAAGGCTTGAACTTTTCCTTATTGATTATAGCTGTAAACGGGCCTCCTCAGTGAGTTTATAATTGGCTTTCTTATTTGCATTGCACTAAAACACACTTGCTGAGTATTTCATGTTTGTATTGAAAGTTTTCTGTCTCCAAAAAAAGTACTTTCAGTTTTATTTAGAGAGAAAATTTCCATTTACTTGCAATTGCTTTTCATTTGAACTTGCTCCATTTACACACAGTTTTTAATTTGCTTTGAAGCATTTCAGACTCTTTCATTTCGCACACAGTTCTCTAGAGACAAACTTTTCACACACACAGGTTAACTTAGTCAATATCAAGACTTTTTAGGGAGGTGGAGACATTTATTAAGGATATCCATTCATGCTCCTTATTCTTTTACTCAGATGCTGCTTCTGTAATTAATCAAAAGCTCTTTAAGGCGTCACGTATAAATGTATTTTTCAGGCTTTGTCAGCATCATAACATTAATCTTTTGCTTGTATTCAGCTAAATGTTGCCACTGCTTTTACGCCCACTTGCTCAAGCTGTTTGAAACCATCTCTTAAATATGTATATGTTCAGAAAAAAAAACGTAATCATTTGTAAGCCATTTATGTAATTATGGAAAAAAATTGGTCTTTTCTGCTGTAAAAGAAAATGCAGCAAATCAGTAAAATTCTTCTAAGAGCAAAGGTAAGAAAGAAAGGAAAATGATCCATATTCTTTCCCATCGTTTGCAACGTTTTGCTATTAGTTGACCTGTGGGAGTTTTTTATCTAGCTTTAATAAATAGTGGGCAGGTGGCACAGGGTGAAAGAGCCTAAACCTGTAAGCACCACCTCAAAAAGCTTTACCTTTCCTCCTCTCAGACAATATGAACTGGACTCTATACTGATACATTATGCTGGCGATGGGAGACCTTTAAAGGTGACTTACCAGATACCATAATTAGTTTCCCTGACACTTTCCTCTTTCTGTTTCCACCAGGGCTGAGCACAGAGGGCATCTACAGGGTTAGCGGAAACAAGGCAGAAATGGAGAGCTTGCAACGGCAGTTTGACCAAGGTGGGTTACCTCCGTCTCGCAGCCCTGACGAGTAAATGTATAAATATCCCTCACCGGTACGTTTCCAAGCTTACTGTGTGAGGAAAAACGCCATGAAGACAAATGTGTGTTTGTGTCTGCTTCTATCTGAAAGAATCTCGAGACTCCTTAATTAACCAGGGGGTATTAATCCTTCTGAGGGAATTGGCCTTCGCTTCCCTTTAGACTGCAGAGCTGCCCCTCTCAATCGTCTGTGTGTATCATCACACGTGTACAGGCGTTCTCAGTGCATGTCTGTCTGGTGCGGGCAGTTAATTGCCTCCAGATTGGTTTGGTTAATGAAGCATGTGCAGCTGTGATGGATAGCAGAGCAAGATGGCCTACGTATGTCCACGCCTGGCTGGTGTTAAATCTAACTCAGGTAATCAGAGTTGAAACCCTCCCGTTGAATCACTCTGAACCCGTGTCCGATGGGACAAAACAATTACAGGTGGAGCTGCAGCTCAGGTGTCTCAAAGTGGCACATCATCAGCTCCCTGAGGAATCGGGTCATTTTTTGGAGAAGAAAGCTGCTTTTGATGTAGCTTACTTGAAAACTCTCACCGTAGGAGCTCTTCATAGACTTTGCAAAGAACTCCCAAACTGCAGCTCTTCTTTCAAATAAAATGTTATCCAGAAATGGACTTATTTTGTTGTTCATCTTTAAAGGCAGATTTTTGTTATTGCTGATGTTCATATCTGTCAAAGCTTGTCAGTTCCTTTTTGCTTCTACTGAAAAAGACAAAGCTTATCGGCAACTGTGTATGTTTGGATGCACTTAGTTCAGTCTTAAATTTTTTCACCATGTTATGATTTTTGGTCTGGGAAAGTCCACACCCAACAAATCTATTCATGCAATCATCTTTCCAACTCTGTTTTCCTAAAAGATAATCCAGTCATGCAACACAAGAAATATTAAAGAGAACCATTCTGGTCGTGCAGTTTGACACTGCTGCTACTTCTGTTTTTAATAGCAGTCTCATTTTAAAGTGATCCAGATGTTTTGCTGCCTTGGCATTTTTCTTCTCTATCTTGTGAACAAGTGAGATTGTAACAAGTGTTTAATTTAGGGACACCCTGTCTTATATACTGACAATTAGCAAGTCATAGAAGTAAAACCACGTGACCATCTTGTGCCTATTACTGCCCATGGCGTGGACACAGGAGTGTGGGGGTGTCCCGTGGTGTCTGGCAGTAGATGCTTTTGGTGGCATGGGTTGTAGGGTGGGGACCATTTTGGTCTGGTGGGGCACATTTCCAGTATGGAGAGGTAGGTACGGGTTACGGGTTGTGCTTTGTTTGCAGTATCCTTTTGGCAGGTGTTTCCAGATAGGACTCAAGCTTTTCCAACATAGCATCGCTTTGTAAAATGACCATCATGTTGGTAGATTTATTCATGCTGAATGTGTGTTTTATGCTCACCTTCTTTCTATGTCGTTTGTTTTCCTAGACCACAGCCTGGATCTGGTGGAGAAAGACTACAGCATCAACACAGTAGCAGGAGCGATGAAGGCTTTTTTCTCTGAGCTCCCTGATCCTCTGGTACCCTACAGTATGCAGACAGACCTGGTGGACGCCTTCAGTAAGTCCCGGGGCTCTGGTGTGAGGGGACATGAAGTCGGGATGTAGGAGGGAGCTCTCATTAGAATCCAAGTTGTATTGGATTTAGTCCCAAATCTTTCTCCCTTCATTGTAACTTGTATTTAAACTAACAAGCACAACTCCTGCAATCCAAATCCACCCATGGGGAGAATTGGATTTGCCACTTGGTCTGGAGCTGGGCAGGAGGGGGGAGAAAACGGAGGGAGGAGAGGACATTTAAGGTGTGGGGAAGATTGCACATAGTGATGGAGGGATGCTGGAGCACTGGGGTTTGGATGAAGTCATGAGAAAATAGTCATAGAGTAGATAAACGAGGGTGCTCCTGCTCTATCCGCCGCCTCTCCTTTTCTCTTTGTGTCCTGTAATCTGTCAGAATGGAGATTTAAAGCGTAGCTTAGTCTTGCATAGCGCCGGAGAGATTTACCCCGGGGCCGCGAGGCTGCTGTCACTCACTGAGCTCCGCATGCGTGTGCGCGAGTGTGTGTGTGTGTGTATGTGTGTGTTTTTCAACGGCCCCGGCGAGACCCTTCAGCCGTGACAGAGACCTGATAAAGCTCCAGCAGTGTATGCCACAATAGAGGGGAAGGGAGGAAAAGGGGAAGAAGAGGTGGAACTGAAGCCTTCATTTAGTAGAAAATTGCAAATAAGGTTTGGCATTTTCACAATTCTAGTTGACTTGCTGTTACCAGAATGAGAAAAAGAGGAAGTAACCAGTTAAAGCTATAAGGATGGGAATGGGGGGGGGATTTTGGGGGATACTGTCACTGTGTTGATGCTTTAAATAAGCTGTAGGAAAGTTTAGTTTTGATCACTCATGATGGATGTGCAGCGGGAGGAACTTATCCTGTGTAAAGTTATCCCGCCTCAAATCTGTTTTTGATCCACACTGACCTCATTGTGGGAATACAGACTCAGATTCTCTGCTTGTAAATCATGTTTGTGATGTGGAGGAGAACATCTGCTGTTCTCACTGCTGCACTCTGCCTCGCTCACATACACACAGGATGGACTGTGTTAGCCGGTGACGTCAGCTACTCTGACTCATTCCTCGTTGCCATCAGGCTTAACACACCCTATCTATGTGTTTCTGTGTGATTTACTTTAATCTGCAGGAGACTGAAATGTGTGTGTGTGTGCTGTGTCTCTCCCCTGGAATGTGTGTGGTCTTTGTGTGTTTCTTTTTTTTTTCAAATGATCATTCTTATGTTTTTTTGACAATAGTAGATAGTTGTCCTTTTTGTACGTGTGGTTTGTGTGAAACTTGTTCGGTCGCAGGATGAAATCAGTGTGACCTGTACAGATTGTTTGAGAGCCGAAACCAATTGCCTCTTCGGTGCTCCTCAAATTCTCCACTTTTTTATGGTGCTCTCCCCCCCCCCCCCCCCCCCTCATCCTCCTGTATTGTCCACTCTCATGCCTCAGACATCTCTTCCACGGATTCCTCTGATCTTCCCCTTTTGCCACTTTCCCTCCCTCCTCTAACATCTTGTCTCTCTCTGCCACCCGTCCAGAGATGAGCGATCGGGAGCAACGCTTCCAGACGATGAAGGACATTCTGCGTCGCTTTCCCAGGGAGAATTACGAGGTCTTCAAATATGTCATCAGTCACTTGAACAAGTGAGTGAGGGACAGCCAGAGATGGCTGTAATGACTGCTCCACCGGTCACCCAGTCAAGTGACCTGCCGGCGATATCCCCTGAAAACAAGCATTGTGATGGAAAGAAAGGTTTTACTCAGGCTCCATCCCACTCTGCAATAATGATGTAGCTTTGAAATGTCTCTTTGCAGACAGACACTTGTGGGTTGTGCAGTTTATGAATTTTATAGATGGCTCTCTTCATTTTAATTTGAATAACTCACTTGTGTGCCCTGACATGTCTAAATGTAGTCTAAATAGAGTAGCGGCTCACAACCCGAGAGTCTAATCCCACCAAAATTAATTCTGAAGTGTTATGAAATGATTTAAGGACTAAGAGAGAAACTGTCTGCCTTCTGCATTGCATTTAGCTCCGTTTTCTAAAATGTGAGATACTTTTAATCATGTCTACATGACAAAATCTAGGAGTTTAAAAAAGATATGGTTTGATTGAGCTATGCTGATCTTGTCATAATAATCACTTTTGAAATTAAATGTCCAAGAAATAATTGGAGTAAACATTTAATTTTAGGACCATCTTATTACACTGTTGGATAACTGTATGCATAATGATTACAAAGCCATAGATAGTCACAGTCATTAGTGATATAACTGTTCTGGAAAGCCAACCCACAGTTGGGTCCAGTTGATCCAGATCATTTAATGATCTTAATTATGTAAACAGTGCAGCTGTCATCAAACTAGCATGTTTTCTACTTCAGTTTTGTTGATTCAAGCAAAAAACATTCTTGGTCTGTTGAGTCTCTACTTGTATTTATGAATTTAATGTTTACACTAACACACTGACCTCTTAATAGAATAAAACAAAGTGTAACATCACAAAAGATGTACTACATTTTGATTAGCTTACTGCTAAAATGATGCGCGGACCCCATTAGCTGCTTTGCATGTTTTCTTTAAAATGTTCTTCCCTTTGGGTTTACGTTTATGACTTGAGATACTGCTTTTATATTTACCGTCTTCCCTTTTTTAAAACACCCAATTAGCACCTCTATTGAAAAAGTATTATAAACAGCTGTAAATGTGGAGAAGAGATGGGGGTTTCATATCTGGTGCCATTTCCAATTATTTGCATCACTTAGAATTATGCAAGTACTCAATATCAACATAGAATATCTTGAATATTGCAGCCTGTATTTGAACATTAATATCTTCGTGCATACATTTGTCTTATAGGCAAGTATTTCATTTTTTGATTTTTTTTTTTTAAATGCAATTTCATGCCTCAGTTCACCTCAACAGGGGAACTAGACAGCAGATTTACAGACTTTTCTGACCCCTTTACTGGCTTTTGCTTCTTTTTTTTTTTCTTTTTTCCTTTTTCTTTTTAAACACTTGATGACCAAAGTTGACAGTGCTGAACTGCAAAGCCAGTCAATTTGTCCCCTGCAGGAGGCACACGTCTCTGCTTTGTGCAGCAAACGGCATCACTCACGATTGAGCTGTCTGCCCAGTATGGTTACCCAGAAAGATGCTATGAATGATAGGAAACAACTGCAAGACATTATTGTTAATATAAATAGAACTCAAATAACGATAACTATTAGCACATCCCCTAATAAAAAAGACAAAGTTTCGATTATGTGTGAATTACACCGGAATAGCTGGATGCTGAAAACAAGTATCTTGGACAGCCTGAGGAAAATTGAATTGAATATTTCAATATTGTTGACCTGACATTCTTTTAATCCCAACTCTTTTTGGTGTCTGTTTCCCAGGGTGAGCCAGAACAATAAGTTGAACCTGATGACCAGTGAGAACCTTTCCATTTGTTTCTGGCCTACGCTCATGAGACCGGACTTTACCACCATGGACGCTTTGACTGCAACCCGCACCTACCAGACAATCATCGAGAGCTTCATCCACCAGTGCATGTACTTCTTCTACAATCAGCCCCTGGCCGACGGCCTCCCAGGTTCCCCCACCTCCACGCTGTCCGGGGGAGGAACTTCAGCCTACTCTTGCATGGCCGGGGGCTATTCGTCCTCACCGACTCCATCCCCGACTCCCTATGTGCTCCCCGCTACCCCTCCTGTCATCCCCCACTACGGGCCCCCTATCCACCATCACCACCACCTCCAGCATCAGCATCAGTCCCCATCCCACTCCCCGCCTCCCACTCCCCAGTCCCCGATCCCTGCACTGCTGCCCCCCTCCCTGCACCCCCATCACACCCCAACGGAACAACACACACTGTGAACAAGGGATCAAGGGAACAAGGAAAGCTGGGGGGGGGATAATGAAAATCGGAGTGAATCGGAAGAATCGGGATCAGACATTTTCAAGTTTGGGGAGGAACTGGGAAAGAATTTTGAGAGAAGCGGGAGATAGGAAGTGAAGTTGGGAGAGATTGAGCGAGATGCAGTATGTACAGGGATAAACCTTAATGTTTGGGAGAAGATGGGGGGGCATTTAAGCTTCACTTGCTTTTAAATAAAACAGACTCACACACGGACCAGGATGGGGAATAATGAAGAGCCTCTGAACTGGCAGTATGACCTTTATCCCACCCTGACACTTCACCCCTTTGTCTCTCAGTCTCACTTGATTTAGACCTTCCCTCCTTGCCTTATAGTGAATCTTCAGACAAACACTAATGAGGAGCAAGACGTTTGCCAGTAGTTGTTAAAGGGACTCAGGGAGGGATTAAGAAGGAAAGTATGATGGGGGATGTGAACTCTGCTAAACTGGGATTTCCACAGCTTACACGACCACACAGGCACGCACTGGACACAAACACGCAAACGGCCGGAGAGGCCTCGGGCAGCCATTCTTCTCATTCCCCTCAGCTGGGGAAATTAGGTGACCGGTGTGCGTGTTTTCCAGAGCAGTCCACCTGCTGCGTCTACCTGGAGGGCTGTGGCCAGGGGACAGAGCGGAGCAGAGAGAGGGGGGGGGGGGATGTTGTGGACACATGTTTGTTTGTTTCACCACTGTACAAAAGACTTGCGCAAGAAACACGTGTTACTACTCACCCAACAGGATGTTCTGTCCCTGGCGACTCACAAATTCCTATCTGTCAACTGCCTGCACAGACACAGACACACAAGCGCACACACACACACACACATACAAAATCAGTTTTAGTTGTGGCACTCTGCCAACTACAGATAAAAAAGCTCAACTGGATCTGCTGGGCAGCAAATTGGAACAAAGGATTATGGGTACTGTGACACCCTTGGCATTCTGGGAAGGCTCCTCCCATCCTCCTGAACTGCAGCCTCTAGTGCTGTCCATGCAAACACAAGAAAATCAGCTTCCTTTGTGTTTTTTTTTACCATCTAAATCCCATTTCTACATCCACATTCTTACTTTCCTACTGTGGTTGCGTTCAGTCCTTAATTTGGAGAAAAAAACAAAACAAATTCAGGCCTTTCTGTCACAGAGTGTGAATGTGTGGTGCGGGCTGTCTGTATCGATGCCCCCCCCCCCCCCCCTTCCCCGTTTAACCTGAATTTCCCTTAGTTTGACAGATAGTGGGGATAATTCCAGTGTTAGACCTTTCCATGTCATGTTTCTTCTTTCACGCTGTGGTGGTTTTATAAGCGAGTCGGTGCGGCAGTTTTCATAGTAAGGACCTTGTTCAAAAAGCACTTTTCTGAGCACTTTGAAGGCACATTTTAAATTAGAGCTGCCATGAAGTGACAGCCACTTGACTCTCGGTCCACCCTGCTTCCTCTCTCCGGGAGCACACCACTGACATCTAGAGGAAGAAGTGGGCATCACCTCCCCTTCTGCATGGGCGTAGCACCCACACTTCCCCTGCTGTGGTTTTTGCAGCGTCAGTTCTCCTATAGGTACAGTTGTCAGGATTAATCCATAGTGCCGGTCAGGTTGAATTAACTTAAGTCTGCTTAGTATAGCTAACAGAACGAGAGCAGTTTTAACTCAAGTACAAATCAATTGAGATTATATAGTTTGTGTAGCCACAAACCATGTGGCCTCATTGCAGTTGGTTGAATTGAATTACCTCTCTTGTCTTTTGTTGTTAGCTTCCACTCCCCTGTGGACTCCAAATTAGCTCTCAGACCGTTTAGAGGAGGAGTTTAATCCACCTACTAGACACCGTATTTCAGAAGATATTAGAAACTGATGTGCACTGTAGAATCAGAGGCCAAAATGAGAAACGGAGGGGCTTACCGGGCTTAAGCCCGTACACGAAGGAGGCATTTTATCCTTGAGAATAATTGGTAACACTGTGCCGTGGACACGAGCAACGGACACAGTGTTGTCTTATTGGAATGGAGCGCCAGGCCTGATGTTGCCGGACTCGCTCGGATAATTTGCAGTGTAACCACTTCAGCTGACTCCCCCCCCCCCCCCCCCCCCCCCCCCGCTGTCACTGTCATGCCACCGGATCCCCCAAGTCACTCCCTGTCCAAAAGAGACAGTTGGGTCTGGGAGGAACAGCACAGAGAACAGGCAGCCCATTCATCCTTCTGCATGACTGGAGTAGGGCTTCACAAAATTCCTCGGCCCAGACTGCTGTTACCATAGAAACCGGCAAGATGCGGCTGGAGGAGAACTGCCGAGCCCTGATCCGAGCAAGTTTGTGTTCCCGCACATGTCTCTTGCTTTTGTGAGCCGGACAGAGCGTCCGTGCATATAAATGTGCGGCCATCAACGTCATAAGCAGGTGTGCTCCAAACTGAATTGCTTCCCTGTGTCTGCCTCCAGACAGTCTGCCCATTTGTCCGAGAATTTAAAAACAAAAAAAAAACTTTCACTCGACCGCAAAGCACCGAGGGGGAGGTTTCATCAATCCACGCTTTCCATGTACCTGTCAGTGGAAGTGTGTGTGTGTGTGTGTGGGCCTGTGTACGGCTGAGACATGCAAAGGTGTGTGTTTGGGAGGGTCTGGGCTAACCTGCTAGCGGGCCGTTACGTGACAGGCGGCCAGACCCCAAGCGTGATCCAAACAAAGGTAAAGCGAAGGAATGCAGCTCTCCTCGTGGTAATTACCCCCACTGTGTGACCCCGTTAGCTCGTCCAGATCACACACGGATCCTGAGAGGAAGAGTGGGAGAGTTAGAGGGGTTGTGGGGAGTGTGTGTGTGTGTGGGGGGGGGGGGGGGGTGGAGATGGACAGCAAATGGGTGAATGGGATCGTTATTTGGGAGACGAAGGGAGGAAGGAGGGGTGACCACTGGTACTTGTGTGTGAACGCCGGCCAGTGGCGTTCCCTGTGTATATCAATGTGTTAATACTGAAGTGACTGTGAGGCAGCCAAAGACTGTGGAAAAAAGGGTTGAGGGAGAGACGGGAGGCAAAGTGACAATTTAGAAGACCATTTGAATTTGAAAAAATGTGACTTTGATTCTTTAAATGTGGCTGCATTGCTATTTTTTTTCTCGCAACAAGGACATATGTCTGTTAAGTTAAATTGCAAAACAAGCAACACTATATTCCAATGGTTGTTTATTGGTATGTTAGGGGTCTAACACTTTGCCCTTTAGTCAGTGGTGATAGAAAAAAAAAAGTTTCTTTTTTATGTTTTATTTTAATAATTAAAAAAAGTACAACACATTTTTTTTAACAATTTCTTTGTGAACGGTTGAGAGACCAGCCCAGTATAATGCATGATTTCTTCCTGACTGAGGAAGAGGGCTCCAACACTCTCGCTATTTAAGAGATGATAAAAAAAAAAGAATTAAGATATGATGAGGGGGTGGGGTGAAAATGCTGAACAAAAATTGAATAAAATAAATAAATGAAGTACTGTAAAGTGAAAAGATAACATCCAACAAAAAGTCTCATTATTTGCTGAGTATGGTAATTTGTCTCAATGGGAATTGTGTATACAGCAAGGCCTTATGTGATCTGTATCATAGTTAATAAATCAAATCTTGTAAAAAATTTGTGGTTCTTGTCTCTTTGTCACTCCTAATATATGAAGCATCCTCATAAAGATGGATTAGAAAAGTAAATCGACCGGTACAGTTTTTTAGTTACTGATAACCCAGGTTTAGTGGTTTTTATTTTCTGTATCACCCAACTTTTTTGTGAACTACCAAAAACAGAATATAAGTGAGCATGAGTTGGTGATAAAGAAGAATTAACGAAAAAAGTGATGCTGGTAAAGCAGGACACATCTTAGAGTCGGTTGATCTGACGGGATTGAGGCTGCTTACTTTTAGGGGGATCATATCTGCAGTCCGTGGTCTTCAGAGGCACTCTGGTGAGGAAAAATGTAGGACAAACAAATCAGAATGACTGATTTCCTAATCTTTTGAGTGTTGCCTGACAGGGTTTGTTGCATGATGTAGATTCTCGGCCATCCGGGCTATGCTAATCTTAAGAATTTGAACGAGGCCTTGGATTGTCAAGACCCAAGAAGGCCGATATTTCGCTATCAGTGTGTGAACCCAAAAGCCTTTGGCTCTGTTTTTCTATAGATTTCCCCGTTGTATCTAAATTACCCTGCAGGAGAAGAGCTAGACATGCCTGTCGGTTCCTTACACAGTGGTCCGAAGAGTTCCATGACACAAACAACCGCGTGTGTGTGTAGCGCGTTTAGTTTTTTTTTCGGCTGCACACTGCCGAGGGACACCGGAGCCACAGTGGAGCGGGACAAGGTCACAGCAGCCTCGAGAGGGACTCGGCCTGTGCCATTTCAGGGTGATGCGAGGAGCCTGGTCCCTGAGAGGGGGGGTGTGAAGGCCTCACTGCCATTTCATGGTGCCCTCGTCTGACCTTTTTATAGAGTCAAACCAAAGGAAATCCATGTCCATGACCTTTTGTGGCGCATCTCTCCATTCTGGCACCGCAAGAAAAAAAAAAGAGAGCAGCTGATTGGGGATGAAAAGGGCAGGCCTGTGTGCACACGGGAACGCGACCCTTGAACTCTGACCTTTAAGGAGCACCGTGAGGGAGAGAGCAGTCTGGGATTTGACTGGAAAGCAGATACGGGGATCGTCAACATGAGCCAGCGTGGGAATGCGAGCGCTCATTGTTGTCAATAATAGCAGGATTAGCCCCAAATAAGAGGCATTAATGCATCATTTTGCAATACGACGCTAGGCGTGATATATCTAGAAGTTTAGAACAAGTTAAATTGGAATTATAGAGGTGTAATATCCCAGTTGTGCCATGAAAACCTTTCCTTTCGGAAATGGCACTGGCTTCTGTTGTGCGTACGCACACACGCCACTAGGAGGCTGACTTGACTCACTCTAACCCACGCAGCTCGGCTGTATCCTTGAAAGGGAAGCCGGCGCAGAGCACGGACCTAATTGATTGGGTCAAGGCTTGGATGTCAGCGGTGAAACGACGCTTTAATCCTGCGCGCACGGTGAGATGAATGCGAGAGACGAGCATCTTAAGACTTCTCTCACTGATGTTGAGCCCCTGCTTTCCACTCTCACAGTTTGAAGTTGGAGAGGGAAATGGGTTTGACTAAACTCCAGAGATAATGTGGGTTGGGGCCGGTGGGGTGGGGTGCGGTGTGGGGGCTCAGGGAAGTAAGCCCTAGAATAAAGACAAAGAAGTAAAAAAAAAAAAAAAAAAAAATTCCAAGTCACTGTTACGCCGTATTAGAGGATTTATGCTCCTTTAGTGTAGGCGTGCCATTAAAGTTCTGAGGGAAAGAGGGAAATAGGAGTGGAAGGAGACATATATGAAGCAAAGAAGAGCGGTCTTATGATGAGTCGAGGCACGTATCTCCGCTCAAGCGTGTCTTTCTGGGCTCGGAGCGCGCAGCTGCGGCGGCGGGTATTGAATTCAGATGCGACCTGTCTCTCCGCCCCGGCTGCTACAGGTGGAAATGCTCTTATCAATACCAACTGTCCGAGCCTGACTCCGGGCCGATCCGTCTCATTGATGATTTTAGGCGCTCCTGCCCTCCCCTCTCCTCCCCGAGGAGCGCGATTGATTAATGTCTGGGTCACAGTGGTATTTCCATATTGATACCTGGATTGATGACGGCGCTTCAGCACCCAAGTCATATTGACCAGTTGGAAAGTGATACGTTTCAAAGTGTTTGGCGGATGTATTTCAGCATAATGGGGGTCAGATGTTGGCGTTTAAGATCAGGGGCGTCCATGTAGTCGGGTGTGCTCAGTG